TCGTGCAATGAATTTCACCGCGTCTACCTGACATGCTTCACAACCTACGCAACCCTAAATTTCGACTTAAAGGATCGAGAGATGTTATACTCATCACTTGATGATCCAGGTGGTGGTGGCCTAGCGATAAACATGACTAAATTTTTATGGGTATTCCGAATAGAGCTCCGGAGTCAAATTCGTTGGAACTTCTAGTACAGGGAATTCCCTAATTTAAGATCAGGTAATTGATATGTGTGTTTGGCACAATGTTACATTGGGTATGTACATTATTATCTGTGCAGTAGTTGGATGGTCTAGTAGACTCTTCTGGAGAATTTCTGATCAGATTTGTGTATAAGATGTTATCCAGTTAGGTACTTATTTTTGTATTGTGTATGCATGTAAACACTTATTGTACCACAAAGTAAATTACAAATTTTAAGAAACAATTAAAAATTTTGTGTACAAAGGCGAGCTTATCTCATAAAGGGATTTCTCCCAACTAACCTTCTTATTATTTTCGCTTGTCCCATCAAAATCCATTTCATTTCAAAACAATTTAATTAAATATGTTTTCTTCCTTTAAAAATTATTTAATGCAAAATAGGCTGTAATTGGCAGATAAAAAAATTATTCAGATTTTTTCCTCCCTCCATGTTTCAAGAAGAAATTGAAATATTTTCGAATATTAATTCACCATCTTGTCCACTTGTGTTGTCATGAGGCCGTCAAAAAAGGCTTCGCAAAGGCTTGTTTACATAATCGTTCAATTTGCAATTGTAAACAGGGGCGACCAACTGCTTTCTTGCTATTTAATCCAATCTCATTGTGTTTTCTGTAAAAAACAATACGCCGAGTCCATTGATAATAAATTTTAATAAATTTGTAAAATTATGCAAATGTTTACAGTGAATAAAACACTCGCAAAATTTTAGTGGCAGAAATGTTATTTATTGTAATTGGTTATCGGAGTGAAGTAGCTGTACTTCACCAACAATGGTTAATAAAAGAAATATTCCAGTCAGTTTTAAACTTTTGTGACTTCGTTCGCATTTCACGTTGAAAGTAACTATCGGTAGGTAGTTATAAAATGACGAGTGAATATTGGATTTTTTTTAATGACGTCAAGTGACGGGATGAACAACAAGTCACACGCCTGGTGGTAAACCACATGTCTACGCATAACAATTGCAGTGGCAATCAGCGCCTTAAATCGCAAATATTTGAGAGACGCTGCCACTTCGTCCGTCACCCTGAGACATAAAGTTGACAAGTCCCATGTGTCTTTAGTTTCACCAACAACCTTACCTTTCAAAACTGGAACACAGTAATGCTCATATTATTGCTTAGTGGCAGAAATAGGTGTCATGGCAGTACTTCCCTGGAGAAACTCTCACAAGAAGCTCTACTGCTACTGATTGCGTGAATATGTGGTTATGTCGTTTGCCTGTATAGTATTCAAGGCGTTATCGTAAAGTTAGAGTATATAGAGGTATAATTAGGTACGTAGGCAAGTACGAGAGCAAACGTTCTAGTGTTTGTCAATTGGCAGTGCGACGTTTGTACATTTTTTTAATAATTAAATTTGTATAGAATTAATATTCAATTTTTTTTTTAAATTACTCCACTAGTTTGTCATAATTATTAATATCAAGATCGAACAATTACAAAATATTCCTGCGATCCGGCCGAATTCGAATCGACGTCTCCTAGCAAACCGTGCCAGACGCTATGCCAACTATACTTCGTTTCAATCCATTTTGAATAAAAAGTAAACAAACAAGTCATTGACTTGACCATAGACGGTTTAGTGACGGCCAATTGTAACGCCAACTACAAACCGATTAATTAATTGAATGAATCGGTTTGTTCAATTGAATCATACTAGCGGTTTTCCTTACATAAGCTATATAAGCATATTTAAAATTTCAATTTAAATCCTCCTTCAAATCCTTACACTTAGATACTCGTTCGATTGAGATTGAAATGTTCGATTTAATAATCGATTACTAAACTTTGATTGATTGCACCGAATGTTTTTTTTCGAACAGCACTAAGCAACCATAGGCAAGTCATAGAAGTATAGAGTAATAATACCCTCACTTTTGAACTACCATTTTTCAAATACGATTTTACGATGCTATTGAAATGAATATTGTTGAAAAAAAGTAATGATATATCAAGTCGAAATCTTTGAAATATACGTGAAAGTGTTACTTATTCGATTTATTGAGTGATTGCTTTAGAATTTTAACCAAACAGGTTTGCATACTTTTTGTTGGAATTGGATTAGAAGAGACTTTAAGCCACGGAACGAACCAGCGTTTTTAGCCGTAGCACATGGAAAAATTTGTAAGGTCCGCTGATTTGTATTAATAATGAAAAGTAAAAGTGTTAATACGAGTTACATTATCTTTGTTTTAAATTAGCTTATACGAAAGGTCACATATGCGTTCTTCTTACCGTATCGATGGATATACACTGTAATGCTTGCCATCGTGGTGAAAAGATTTGCCAATCGGCGTAAATAGCAGTACAGCTCTTTGTGAAATAGTTCGTCTTTGGTGGTACTGCCACATTACCTATTTCTGTAAAGGTAATGGTGAAATTACATGCACATGGGACTTGTCAACTTACGTCTGGGTGACGACGGGCGCAGTGGAAGTGCCCCTAAGATCTTTGCGATTTAAAGCTCTGAGTGGCACTGCAACTGTTATGGATAGGCGTGTAGCTTACTGTCAGGCGCACGACTTGTTCGTCCCGTCACTTGATATTATAAAAAAAAATTACTCGCCAACTGTTGCTCATACGTACAGGAAAGGGATGATTAGTGCTTCCCACATATACGGTAAATATGATTAATACGGGTATGAAAAAAAAAACTTCGGTTATTCGTTTAAAATAACGCAGGATTTTTAATAAAAGAAGGATGGCGATATGCCGTGTGTTTTGTGACCCATTGTTTTGGACGATGTGCATTAAAGAGACCTATCAATATTAGTGATTCATTATCAAAGCATCAAAAAAACTAATTGAGTACAATCTCTAGAAGTTGGGGACTACAATCTTGATATAGGTTATGTTTATAACATTGTCCTCTCTTTCGATTCAGATGTTTCTTCGTACTAGCAGAAACAAAAAGTTTTCAGTTTGTTCCTAAAATAATAAAGAGCTTGCTGAATATTTCTAAATCTGCCAAACTCTGCCACATTTAATACAACATTAACACGTTCTGTCGCAATGAAAAAGAATAAAAAAATAAACCTGCCCAAATTGCAGACATTTGCCACAAATGGTCACACTGTTCTCAATCTCAAACTGACATGATTCGCTCTGGGCTTTTTGGAGGGAAAAGAATCGTTTTTATTTTAAATTTCAATTTTTCTTTTAATGTCAAAATTTAGTTTAAAGTGGAATAGGATAGTGCTATTGTGCCTTAATCGAAGATTAAAACGCGAAATTATACGAATCTCGAACTAGAATACCCGTATCGGCCCGTTTTTAGGAATCCCAAGTCAATCCAAGCACGCCGCCTCAAATTGCCTATCCTCTTTGTGGCGCCCATATTTACAGAAACATAATTAAACTTCATGTTTAGGCTGATGGCTTTGCCAAAGCCTTAATAAAAAAATAAAAAAATCAAACTGACATGATTCGCTCTGGGCCTTTTGGAGGGAAAAGTGTCGTTTTTATTTTAACTCAATTATTTTGTGAAATTTAATTTAAAGTGGAATAGGATAGTGCTATTGTGCCTTAATCGAAGATTAAAACGCGAAATTATACGAATCTCGAACTAAAATACCCGTACCGGCCCGTTCTAAGGAATCCCGAGTCAATCCAAGCACGCCGCCTCAAATTGCCTATCCTCTTTGTGGCGGCCATATTTACAGAAACATAATTAAACGAAGACATGGCTCAAAGGACTTATATCCAAGCCAAAATTATTAATCATAATAATCAAACTGACATTGACATTGGCAAGAGGAGGCCTCTTGCCAATTGTCAAAAGTTCCTTTGCTAACTTTTGTAATTCTCACTTAAATATTGTCTAAACATTTTTGTCACATTGTGTTTTATATTTTTACTTCATGTCATTATTGTTTACTTGAATTTTGATTAGGTATATTATAATTTTAATGTTTTATGTGTGTACTATAAAATAACCAATACAGCTAGGTAAACATTCAATCATGCTTGAAATGAAACGTACGAACAAGAACGTTACCTAATCTATAGTCGAACTGAATCAATTGCGTTGTGTTTTTGCATCTATCCTAAAATACATTGTTTTGCAATTTATTTATTCCCGACTCATAAAAATATACAAAAATATATTAATAACTAGGCATAAACTAATACGTAAAATTATACTAGCAAAGTCCATGAACAGAACTTCGTTGATTTTGGATCAGCTTTCGCCAGCCTTCCAACGGATATCTGGCCCGAGAACTTGATTCTGATCATTGCTTCACAATTGCCGCGTTTTTCCCTGGTAACAAATTTGATACGTTATATTTTTTTCCGTAGGTGTTGTGGTAATTTATACCTACTAAATTGTTTCGATACTGCTTATTATATTGATATTGCTTGCGTGCAAAAATATTTGAATGAATGTGTCATCATCGAAAAATTGACTGTGTTCTATTAAAGTACAAACGTGGTATGATCAATCTTAACGTTACATTAATATGTAATACCTATGCCAACATTTTTTTAAATTATAAGTTTTTCACATAATTATATAGTTTTTACATAAAAACATGATATTTTTTTATATTCCAAAAAAAAGGGGCCAATAGTATTTGATCATACCATATTGGTACTTAAGTACAAAATAGCAACATAGAATCAAATTAATTCATAACTTTTATATGAAAACAAAACTGTCACGTTTTAACGACAGGATGATCTGATTGACGGTGGTGTATGTGCTATTTTTTATATAGTTTATAATTGAAAAGGAAAACTAAAACAACAAGATAATTTACAAAATTTTATTTTCTTTTCCTGTCGCCGGCTCTCTTAGGCTAGATATAGATGCGATCTTTCTTTGTGAGGACACTGGTAACACCATTTTAGCTGTCATTTCCGACTCCTATACTGACTTGAGACTTCTTTCATAAGTTACAGATTTGCAGAATGCACAAATTCTAAGGTATATTACTAGAGGAGAAGCACGCGTCAAAACTGTAGAAGGTGCACTTGGTTGATGTAGTTATTTACAATGTCTAAACTGGGTTAATTTCTATGGTTATTGACAGTATTATGTTATTGCATGGTTTGAAAAGTTTTCGTTACATGATTTAAATTATAGGTGCAAATCTGTAATAATACGAAAATTCAAAACAAAAATTCTCAAGTCAGTTTACAATATTTTTTCCCATAAATTAAACATATCGTTAGATGGCAAGATTCACTAAACGCTAACATTATAAATATTATATGAGCTAATTCAGGTGCTTGACAATACAACGTAACTGTACTCAGTAAAGTTATTAATATTCCACACATTACTTGTTTTTTTTTATTGGAAGAATAAATAAAATTATAGGTTAGTTCTACTTGACAATAAGATACGTGGCGTTTGGTTTCTAATGAGAATCATTTTAAAGAGTCGTCTGTTATTGTAAAGAGAATAAGGATATCATAGGATAAAAATAATAGTTAAATTAATCACCTCGTATTACAAACTTTGTAGCAGAGAAAGAAATTCTGTTTACACTATCAAATAATCTCTTAAAACGTTTAAACCGTAGATATCGCAGCCACTTCTAGTTATACAAACGGTCAAAATTAGTCCAAATTGTACCTTATTGTATTTCCATAGAGTTCAAATTCGCAAGTTGATAATTTTGTATAGATGGATGTGGTTGAGTGTACCAAATACGCCGTATATCGACTGAGTTTCCACGATCATCGCATACACGTACTCGTTTTATTTTATACGTTACTACTAACGTAGAGACGATACTATACACAAAGAGAATGTTAGCGTTTAAGATAACTGACATATATATTAACTGTGTACATTAAAAATTGAATGGAACAACTTCGACGGTAAACATAGATCGATATATACAGAGACCGTTAGTAACATGAATTTAAACTTCAAAGATGTTGGCATCAAAATTATTGCTACGAAGTTTTGCGCCTAAAGTTTAGGTACAACATGTGTCTACTTATATCTAAGATATTTATGCTAATATTTACAGTTTAAAAGAATAAAATCGATGAGCTATAAGTTTAAAAACAGCCCTTCGTTTATACATACGAAATAACAAATTTATTCGAGAAAATATTTACATAGCAATTGCAAATCACAGAATACGTGCGTCAAGATAATATCGTAAATTAATAAAAAAATTGTCCTTCTGGTAGTACAGTCTACAATACGGTGTTTGACACAACATGAAAAATACTTGATGCAATGATGTGAATATGATAGGTAATTTATCGAAAACGAAATAATAAGAGATATCGGTTTGTAACAAAAATACACATGATTAATTATTTAAATTTTAAAATGTAAGTTTTTATTTGTGAACCATTGTAAGAAAAAATTATACCTGATATTAGGACTTTAAATGTGACGTCATATATGTAGTAAATAAACTTTACGGAGATAGTTCGTGTTTTGGGTATACTTATTAATCAAATGTGACAGGTTTTATATTTTCTATTACCAGACCATGAATAAAAGAAAATTAAACTAAACAAATATACTAATAATAATAATATGCTAAGACAACCAAACCGGATATCTGGTCTCGAACAAGGGAATTCCCTACTATGAGAACAAGAGCTAAGGCATTTACTCTGGGTCACCACGCATAACACCCAGAAGCTATTTAGAAAAGGTTATTTCCCAAATTGGTCCTACTTGGCCTACAGTACAAACTAGTGGTTGTCAAAATAATATTATAATGCATACATTGCGGAACTACAATAATTATTACAATTTGTCGTTCGGATAACTGTCCGAGTTATTTCAGTTGGCGTAAAATTTTCGGCCTTCAAGTTAGACACTTGTAGAAGGGTTGCGCTGTAGGGCTGTGGCGCTGCATTGGGGAATCTGTGGTGCTGTAGCTGCGCTTCTAAATATTATGTGAAACTCAAAAGCTTTCTAATTTTAACGTTCAATATCTAGCACATTGTATTAATAAGTTTACAGTGGAGTACAAACATTTAGAATTGACAATGTTGGCTTGTATTTAATGGAACGACACCAAATAATAGTAGAAAAATAAATTTTACTAGTGTGTTTTATTCCTGTACCCTTACAGTATAGGTACAAAACACATTTTAAAACTCATTATTTTAAATGATAAATTTATAAATTTATTTGGACTTGGTTGTTTACTACACGTAAGATGTCACAGAAGCGTAATAAAAATTATTGTGACTTAATACTACGATATGAACATTTTAAGAAAAATTTAAAAACAAGAGGAAATTAGCCTATTACTGGCAAGACACGAAGGTAATACTTATGATTTTAATGATACTTCAACTACCTCATAAAGTGACGTGAGTCTCACACACTATAAAACTTTGCTAACCCATTATTTATTTCTGAATCAATGGATAATATGTGATAATCGGTTTGCCCCACGTTTATGAGGCTACCTAATGTGTTAATTTGGATTTTATAATTTGCCTGTTCTTCACATATTGTGTAAAATAACAGAAAATCCAACATGAGAGACACGATATCTATCCAGAGGTAAAATATTATTATAGGCGATTATTTCCTTCAGTTTATAAATGCTCGTAAAGTTAAACAAATGCGTACAAAGTTTGATGAGATGTCCCATTATATTGTGTTACGATATGCCGTTTTAATTAATATTTTATAATCGCTTCTAAAGAAACAACACGCATGTGTTTAACACATCTTATTTAATTTTTGTTTAAGTACCAGAAATGGAAATTTACATGCAGCGAGTTACATTTACACAATTGCCATTTTCACAACCGAAATTATAAATATGTAATAGGTACTAAAGTATAATTTAAAGTTTTCACCAACAACGTTAGTAAAATTATTATTGATCGCGTTTGGAAATATATTGGGAAATTCATGGTAAGGGGTTCATGCGATCAGTAATAATTGGACTTGTGTCAAAGTCTGTGGCACTACACCATCACTCGGATACATCGTCTCTAGGCGAAGTAGGGAATCGTGGATTAAGAGATGATGTTGTCGTACTTAGATCAAGGGCTGGCTCTGGTAATACAGCAGGCAATGGGGCAGCCATCGGCACTCCCAATGGCGCCCTCATGTAAGGCGGTGGCATGGACAAAGTAGAAGGACCCTCAAAACAAGGGAGTCCAGTCAGAGCAGGCGGTGTCCAGCATGCAGCACTCGACGGCTCTTGTTTTATCCCAGCTGTGCTCAAGTACGAACACGCCATCATCTGTGAACAACACAAATATAACATTTCAAAAATGCTTAGCTTTAAAATTTTAAATGTAGGTTTTGCTTACATTATACAAGTAATCTCCGGGAGAGCAGATTGAAATAAAACAGAGGTAACATAAATAATGAAATATGTATTATTATGAGATGAGAGGTCTAAAGAATTCGCGTGTGGTGGGGGTTCCTCTAATCACGCTAATGGCCAATGCGCAGCTCGCCGCCCGCACCCCTCCGGCCACGAGGAGGCTTTCAAACTAATGCGGAGGAGAGGGCACAGGAGCAGTTCGCTGCTAAATCGTATAATGCTTTGCCATGTGACCGCCATACGACCTTACGATGACTCTTTCGTTTTAAAATGTGTGTGTATTCACCCGCATAATATACAGTTGAGCAAAATTCTTAAGTGGTTTATCAAAGACAAGTTTTTATTAAAAAGATTTTGCACATACATGACGCTAACGTATTCTACTAAAAAGTTAATATGTTATAAACAATTGCAGGGATTCACTGGTAATATGAAAATATAAAACAATTGAGGCCAATTTATTACTTTTTAAGGCAAATTTACTTTTATAATTTTGTTACAAGTTAAGCATAAAGCAAAAGAAGGTCATATAAATAATATAAACTCAAAATATTACATTTTTACTTTACCGCAAATTAAAATTTAGGATTGCATACACCACTTTAATAGATATTTAAGAAGAAAACACTAGGCAGCTTTTCAACCTGAACGTCCAACAATTTTTGTATAAAAATCTCATTCGGGTAGAAAGTGCAGTGTTTCTCACGTTGTATAATAACGTCTTAAACGAAGTATAAATACAACGGTTGGATGCTATGGATGCTATACATCATGGCGCTGGTGGCGGGCGTTCGCCTCCATTTTTCACACAGCGACTGTGAAATTGATTGCACGACGTGCTAGTTGCCGGACGCTGCACCGTATGCTGCGCCGCCGCCAGTGGTTGCCACCGTCCACACAACCTAAGTAATTTAACTTTGCTAGCCAATCACTATTCTAATACCACAGTTCTCCCAGCCCTGTTACGCATATACAATAACTAATCTAAATCAATTGATTCTTGGTATGTATTGTAATAACAGTTTCATAGTTAATGCCGCGAACAAAGCCGTCTACACAATTGACATAGTTCGCGGTAACAGCTGCTCGTATACGGAGTGTTCTAACAATGATATTGTAACTTTAATATTTATTGCACTTGATCAACTCGGGTAGAGTTGGTGTGTACCGTCGTACGAGACGCTCGACATTGTTACCATATTAATATACCTAGCCGAATTAAAAAGTTCATGCATAAATTAAATTTAGTGCGAAGCTGCAATAAACGTCTTTAAACAATGTGCACAACTTAATTAACTATTGTGCCATTGCGCTCGAACGTAGAGTGCATAATTAAACCCTTCACATAAACGCTTTGGGTAATGTGTTTAGCGGCGGCATTGCTTCAGGAGACCTAAACTCTCCTATGAGAATAAACAGTCGCTGGAGGCTCATCGGTCGAGGCTCGCCGCACAAATGAATTAGTGGTGTTGTGAACCCCCTGCCGCCCGCCCAGTGAAGCGCCAGCGAGCCCGCCTCGGAGCGGGGGGCATGTTGCGATTAAAATATAATTAGGCGCTCGGCAATTGTTTCGCCATCGAACCAGGTGGCGCGGCTAGGTAAATTAAATAGCCGTATAGGGTTTCCAATTACGTGCGCTCGACGGCCGCGGAAAACACGCTTATTGCCTAATAATAGAACGGGGAAACAATATGAGGATCTCGTAGCTGATTAATTATTTCAGAGCGTGCAGGCCGGGCAGCGCTGGTGGGTTAAAAGTGTTTCGGAAACAGCGTGTAATTGATACAGTGGTGTCGCTGGTGCGGGCCGCGGGGTGGCGATACGGCGCAGGTGTAACGCGATATTAATTACGATCAGCAAGACAGTGCTACGTAATAAATCACGTTTGCCTAGCTACAGCATACTTTTGGCGTAATGAATTCAAACGGGCCGCAATAATTGCGTATCTAATTACGAGCGAACGGAGCTGTCTATTTTATCACTGTCGGGTTATGAATTAGGAATTGCTTTAATTAAACGAGCATGTAATATTCGTGAAGCGACATACTGTCGCCGCAGCATTGTCGCGTATCGTGGTGGCGGGTGGAGTCGCGGGCTCTCCGGATCGCAGCGAAACAATTAGGTTTCAAACTAATACGGACGCTATTGAAACTTGCCCGACCGAATGTGGGCCCTATTCACTGCGGACGAAACACAACCGTCTATTGCATTGGCTCACAATGAAAATTGTCGTGTCGTATTTATGAATACTTATTTAATTAGTTAGATACAACTCTATGAATTATTTGTCTGTAGCGCTTCAATTAATTTACATAATGGGTTTATTTCACAGCGAATGAGGGGGATGGTCCCCGCGGTCCGAAACCGGTTCTTACCTTGGTCGAGTTTACTGAAGTTCTCGAGAGATAAATAATGTGGCTTATGATGTGACAACATGTTTACTATTACATTGACTATTCAAAACTATTACATAACTGTCGTTGCGGATTAGCCTGTACAATATTTCTAAGTGCGATTACATAAAGTGTTTTCTAATGATGTTTTCGATGTATTTTCTTTACCAAATGTTATAAAGGTTAAAGGAGATGCCATAAGAGCCAATGCATTTGAAAAAATACTACAGGTATATGTTCATACAAAAGTCGATTAATATAAATGCAGAATTAAAATTTCATACGAGTGAAGAACTAGAAAATTACCCTAGATTTTAAAAATTTTAAATCATTCACCTTCGCCTTTGTTAACAATTTTTACTTCCCATATGAAATCGCAATAAAATCAACTATTCCATGCTAAATGTTTATTATATCCACTCGACCGAAAGGTTAAACAGCTGTTATTTGACACCCGTCAGAGTCTCATGATTTCTACTACGCTTATCACATTTTTTATCATGAAAGTTAGCAAAACAAACGTAACCTGTATAGCAGTGTGCGTTCCAGGGAGCAAAGCGCAATTTGCAAAGGTCACGGGTGAGTGAGGTAGAAGCAAACTGCCGGACTGCAGTACCTAATGACCGATATGTGATACCGCCTCGCCGGTCCACATCTGGGACTACGTCCACAGCCACGAGGGGTAAGGCATAAACTCAATATGTGTGTACTTAGTACAAAGTGCATTTAAAAAATATAAATGGAAATCTTAAAGAATACGTTTTTAAATTTCTCTTTATGGTTTTCGAATAGAATTATTCGAATTCAGCTCAGCGCGAAAATTATTCTAGTTTTCTTAGGGATTCTGGGCAACACACACCTTCCTTTTCTTCACTAAGTAGTTTGTTTATACAATTTTATTTTATTGAATATCGTTCAATATAATAATAATAATTCGTAATGTTTTTAGCACCTTGATATTCATACTTTTTTTTATGAAAAAGGAATAAGTGGGCATTTGATCTGCATCTCACCCAAAGAAGAAAAAAAAAACAATGGAAGTGCCTTAACCGTCGATTATTTTTAAAAACGCTGTCGCCAAAACTCATATTATAATCATAATAATTACGTTAAACACTATGAAATCCTGATAATGATTGGTCGTAGTTTCCAATTTAAAAAGATGCAAATTCATCTAGATTGTTAATATAATTTATACTTTACACTGTTGGTTTATCGTTGAATGTTGAATTACCTATTATTATATTGAAATTTTAATCAATGTGCTGCCATCTAGCGTTCGATAGCTGAAAGATGACGGATTTGAGATGTTGACTTAGTTTTCCAAAAAAGAAGCGACCATATTGCAGTAAAAATTTAAAATTTATTAAAATTAAATACAATAAGACTTAACGATGACATGAAAAACTACCATGGATAACATTATAGGTGCGACTATCCTTTTTGCTCTGCTAAGTAGGATAATAAGGCATTTTTCTATGATTTTCGAGACTTTGTGCGAGATAATTGACATAAGACATTGACCATATGGCACAAAGCAAAAACGGCGGACAGAGCTCGAGTATGAGGACTGGTAATAACTTAATCGTATTTAGCATCTGTTTACCTGTTGTGATTTTTAACACTCAAATACATTATTATACATACATTAGATAACCTACATGAATGGTAATAATAAGGAACAAAATAAAATAAAAAATAAATTCAGACCAAGGCGTTCTGTTCACGTCTTTGCATATTTATATTTAAATATTCGCATATTATAGTCCGTGTGCCGATTTACATTATTTTTTTTTAAATTAACAGTTTAGTTATCGACTGTACTACGAGAAACTATTGTAAGTCCGGACATAGGATTTAATATCAATGTTGAATAGAAAACGCGTAAAGCCACAATGGCCCATCGGCATTCCATTAACTAGCGAGCAAACACACGGGACGGCACTAACTCAATACAGAACGATTTCTGGCGAGCGATACTTGCACGTTCGGGACTATATGTAGGGTGTCCATGATAGTATATTCAAGTACGATAAAAAAATTGGTAATACTCTTGTCACAAAATATTAAAGAGATAAATTAGTTACTCTTTATATATATTAATATGTAGTTAATTGCTAGTCGGTAATAAGAACTAGTTAGATCAATAAGAGTATTGATATAAAACATCTGGATTATATACATTCATAAATGAGATTACGCCACTTTTGCGCAGATAGCCTCAATAGGGTACGTTATTATTTGTATTCAAATACGTTATAATTTACGAGTACCAATATTTGCGTCTCCAAGATTGCAATAATTATGACAACTGATTCTAATTGTAAGGAATTTCTCGTATAGAACAAAACGAATGGTAATCCTAACTATTGGAACATTCCTATTCGATTGTAACGACTAACGACTGTTTATATTGGCGCGGACGGCGGCGGGGCTCTGGGACTCCGCGAGACAATGCAAGACTCCGCCTAAATAATTTAATAGTTGTAGGCGCGTCGAGCCTTCCGCAAACATCCCCAG